AATGTTATTTGTTATTACTATTTAACATTACTTGATTTAAATTCAAACTGATGAAACCAATAATTTAATACAATGAATTAAATTAATATTAATGTTATTTATACATATAAACATGTTATTTTCTTATTTCTTAAAGTATTATTTAATTATATATTGATTGAACATATTTATTCAATGATTTTTTTTTTTGGTTTCAATTCATTGAAAATTATTTGAAGATTTCATTTTCTTTCATTATTGTTCATAATAGAAATGTTACTAAATAAAAAGACATTCAAATTGTCTATATGATAATATCAAAACAATATATCTTTGATTTATTTGATTCTATTATTCAATAAATGATAAAAGTTAAACTCTCTTTTAGTTTAGTTAAATAATTATTTTATATTAAAATAAGCGTATTATTTTATTGATTATATTTTGTATTTTATTTGTGTATAATTTTTTATTGTTTTTCATAGTGAATTTATGTTTATTTTAATCTTCATAATTTGAAAATCATATTATTACAAATACTAGAAATATATTCTACAATAATTACTAATATTCATTGAGAAACTAAAAGATTGTTTTCATTAATAGATAATTTAATGAAATAAACTGGTATCAATATTTTTATTGTTTATATTATTTAACAAGATATTATTTTGTCAAAGAATAATATTAAAATAAGTGTGGTTATTCTGTATTCAAATATGAAAAAGTAATTTGTTTTGTTTAAATGGATGAGGATTAACTGAATTACTCTTCAAAGATGAGTTAAATTATAATAATGTTCTTCTTATTAGAGCTTTACTTAAAGATATAACAATTAACAATTCTCATATGATATTGTAATTTTTGATTGTCAACTAAAAAATGTTCAAAACTAAAAAATAGAAATTATAAACAAGAAAACTCAATTTACTTATAAAATAAAATTAAATTAAAAAAAATAGAATTCTCAATATTAAGTGATGGTTTTCAAAAAGAGTTAATAGGTACAACCACTCTATGAAATGAAAATAATTCTAATTATTATTTATTAAGTCTTCTACTCAATTAATTGTAATCATTCATCTAATTATTACAAAACACCTCTATACATAAAATTTAAGTTTATTAATCAGTGAATAACGAAATCAACAAAGAATAAAAGTATAAAACAATGATTCAATCATTTAAGTAATATTGTATTTACAATATTACAACCTACGAAATCTATCATAAAATTAATAAAAAGGATTACCCAAATGATCAGTACAAAGGATTATATTCCTTCTTTTACAAATTAATTAATTTATGTTGTTAATATGAACGTATTGAAAAGAGTCATCAATAACTAATAAATTAAGTGAAATGATAATATAAAATAAATTAAAATATTCTGACAATTCTAGATAAAGAGATTCGAATATTGCATATTAAAGACACTAAATAAAATTCTAAAATATTTACATTCTTCAAATTCACTAATTATATTCTGGTTATGATATTGCATTTGGTTAGAAAAACATCTTATTCAATATTCCAAGAATATTAATGATTATTATTTATGATAATGGAATATCATTGTTAATAAAAGAATAATTATTTATAATGATAGTATTATTGTTAGTTAGGATACAAATGTATTTAATAATAAAGGAATATCAAAGAAAAAGGGTTAATAGTTGATGTTAAAAAGAATATTAGCCCATAGTAATACAGTAGTAATTATATATTCTCCTTAAAAATAAAGAAGAATTTAATACTCATCAAAACCAAACAAAAAATTAAATAATGAATATTTAAGTCAGAGATATCTCAAATACTTTATTCTAGAATAAATAAAGAAGAAAAAAAAATCACAAAATTCAACAACTAAAAGTTAATAATAAGCTACTAATTGTTGAACAAACAATTCTAAAGTAAATGAATGTGATTAGTTAATCTCCACTGAGCAATGAACATAGAAAATATTCCATACCATAATTATTTACTTTTTATTAATTTTATTATCTTCATCAGTAATAATGAATTTTACGATAAAACTAATAAAATAAGTATCAGCAGATCTTGTTTTCTCTACTTCACTTTGTACAGGTGAGATTACGTTATTCACTCTCTACAGATCCTTGATCATGAGGTAATTCTATATCTTTATATTCACCTCCATGATCTCCACAACATTTCATTAATTCTTTCATGTTTTTAATTATTATATCTTTTACCATTATTTCATATGGAATTATTATACAATGTTCTTTTAACATTATTACTGACTCTTTATTAAATAATCAATTTGTTGTTATTACCACTGAAATTACTTTCATTTTAGTTTATTAATTTGTATTATTTTGAAATGGAGAGTTCTATTCATTTCAAGTTTGGTAGTAAATACTAGAATTATCTTCTTATCACATACAATTTTATATCATTTATTATTTATATTTGTTTTATTTTATCTTCTATATATAAATATCTAGTCTTTTATGAAATATTCATTTTTATTACTATTTGTTGATTCCATACTATGAATACTTCATTATTTTATATTCTTATTTTGAATTTACCCATTTCATTTTTATTGAATATTAATTTTATTTTATTCTATTTTATTTTATTCTCCATTTTATCTTCATTCATTATATTTATTTTATATTTTAATTTATCACATCTCTAGATATATTCTCTTATTATTTCATGTTTATCAATTTATACATTCTTATTTATAATATAATTTAATAATATATATTCATTTGTTGATATTTTATCATTTTAAATATTACATCACTTTAATTTATTATTTCATGTAATCAATACTTTCTTAATTAATACAAATATACTATTTTCTTACATTAATTTTAATTGTTTATAATAATTTCTTTTTATATTGATATTCTTCTTTCTTCTACTTGTTAATTTCATATCATATCATTTTCAAATTATTTTATTAAATGACTATTTATATTATTTAATTTCAATTTATTAATATATATTTCATTATATTTATTATTTAAATATTTTATTATTATAGATGATTCATTCTTATTTTGTGACAATATATATTTCATTAATTTCATTTTTATTAATTCTTTTATCACTTGTTTTATGAAATCACTTCCAAATTCATTTCTTATTCATTTTCATTATCTCTTATTTTATTATTTCCATTCATAATACATTATTATTCTTATTAATTCTAATTCATTTTCATCTCTTATTATTTCATCATTATGATATTATATATTTTATTTATTCTTATCATTATTTTATTTTTACTTATTCTTATTCTATCTTATTTATTAATTTCTATTCTTTTCTTCTTTATATTAATTAAATATTCTATTTGTTTAATTTCATATTTTATTATTAATATATTCATCTTTATATTATTTATTTTTCATTATTCTTTTAATTCTGGTATAATTCTTGTTATTTAATAATTATTTTAATTTATTGGTTTTTCTTCTTAGATTATTAATTTCATCATTTTGATATCATATAAAATCATTTTATTGATATTTAGAAATATAATATGATATTTTATATATTTCTTTTTTGATATCTTCTATATTTTCATATTCATACTTCAATTCTTTATTCATCTATTTATTATTTTATCACATGTTTTTTTATTGAAATAATAATTATATGTTATTTTATTTATTTATTTTTTATTTTCTTTTATTATGTCTTTTTATTATCTATTTTATCTTTCATATTGTTTATCATTATTTATTTTAATTTATTGAATATATTTATAATTATTTATTATATTTATTGTTATTTATATTATCTTTTTCTTGTTTCTTTCATTATTTCATCTTTTATTCATTTCTATATATTATTCTTCTTTACTTATCTTTATTCTTCTGTATTCTATTATCTCTTTAATTTCTATAATATCCAATTTTCATTTTAATATTATATTTAATCAATAACAATCATTTTTATCTTCTTTTCTTCTATTTCTGATTGTTCATTCGTTCTTCATTATTTCTTCTATATTGATATTCTCTCAAATTATCTTCTCCAGTTCTTCTAGTGTCATTCTTAGTAATTCTTCTTTCCTGGTTTGAATTACTCATTCTTGTATTTGTTTTATTTTCTTCCGGGATTCTTCTTTGATAGTCCACTTCTTCTCTTCTATAATTATTCCAATTGAACCATTTCTTTAGTACTTCTATTTTTATCAGAGATATTGTTCTCTTCCTCATTTTGTTAAAATTTACTTGTTAAATATATTCTTCATTAATGTTGTTTTCTTTTTCTTCTGATAGTTTGACAATTTAGTTTTCTTTTATTGTTTCAATCTTATAATTTTCTTCTTTCTGTTTCTTAATTTATCTTCTAATTCCTTGTTTTTTCTTCTTTCTATTTCTATTTACTTGTCTTTAATTGCTTTGTGTTTTTGTTTTTTTTTTCATCTTTGTTATTTCTTCTTCTTGTTGTTTAATCTTATCTTTTGTTTTCTTCTTCCCTTTCTTTCTCTAAATTCCCTTTCAGTGTTCGTCTTTGTTCTTCTTTCTGACAGACTACAATCTAATGTTTACTATTCATTCTTTATATTTTTTATCTTCTTTTCTTCTCTCTTTTCATTATTTCTTCTTTCTTTTGTTTTTGTATTTCTCTATTTCTTCTATTCTTCCTTCAATTTCTTTTATTTCTCTTTTATATTCTATTTGATTTTATTCTTTCCCCTTTTCATATCTTTTTATTATTTATTTCTTCTCTTCTTCTATATCTTTTTCTTGTTCTTGTATTGTTTCTTCTTTTCTTTAATTTTTATGGATATTTCTTCTTGTTCTTCTTCTTTATTAATTAGTTTCTCTTTCACTATCTTTTTTATCTTTGCAAATCTCTTCATCATTTCTTGTATTATTTTCTTGTTTTCTTGTTTTGTCTTTTCTTCATTGTCTTTTCTTGTAATATCTTTTACATTATTTATTCTCAGAATAATATTGATTAAACATTTTACTTGAATTATGTTATTTGTGTTATAATAATTACTTTTCTTTTTATTATAACTGTGATTATTTGAAATGTACTATTGTATTTATAAATATGATAATTAGTATTAAAGTAATTATGCTTTTATTTTGTTGATAATGATTATATTTATATCCTTGATAATATCTTCTAAATCTATTTGTTGGTGTACAATTATTTATATTTGATTTTCGTGAGATTCTTGTGCTATAGAAATAGATCTTATAAATATACAAGAAGAATAAATAAAATACAAAAAAAGAAATAAATAAAAGAACAAAAGACAAACAAAATATAATAAATTTGAATAAATTTGAATAAATTTGAATAAATTTGAATAATAATAATTTTTGAAAGAAAAGAAATAAATAATGATTAAATGATATAAAGAAAGATATAAAAGAAAAAGAAAAAACATAAATATGAAAAAAAGAAATAATAATAAAAATAATAAAAAGTAATAAATAAAAGAATAAAATATAAAGAAAAAGGTAATAAGAACAAGAATAATTTTAAGAATAAATTATTAGAAATTAAAATAAATAAATAAAATAAAGAAAAGTATGATAGTTATAATAATAATAAAAAATAAGAAGGCCCCGTAGCACAGTCGGTAGTGCATCGTACTTATAGAAAAGAGAAATGCGAGGGTCGCGGGTTCGATCCCCGCCGGGACCACTTTTCTTTTTTTTTATTTTATTAATTAATATTATTAAATATAAAGTACAATCTAAAAATTGTTTATCATATCAAAATATAATAATTATAATTATATATAGATTAATTAAATTAAAAATTATTATGAACTAATTAATGATAAAAGAAGTTATAATTATAAAATTAATCATTATAGATAAATAAATTAAATAATATATTTTTCAATATTATACTTCATCTTATTGTTATAAATTGATAATATCACTAATAATTAAAATTATATGATTTAATATAATAAAGTATTGATATATAAAACAAATGATAATATATAATTACAAATAATACTATTATTTCTTATTTATTATTAACATTTTAGAATAAAATATTTATTCAATTATTATTTATATTAAATATTTTCAATTAACTATATTAATTATTTTTGATTATCTAAAAATAATACTTTCAATTAATCATACAATGTTATAACTACTTTTAATTTTTATTTAATATAATTATATTTCTCTATTTTTTATCTTAATATTTATATATTATTATTACTTTTTAATAAACATTCAATTCATAAATATAAATCATAATTTAATTTTAGATAATAATTTAATATTTCATAAACAATATTAATATAATTTTTCTAAATTATTTGATGATAACATATAATAAAAATAAATACTTTTTCTAATGAAATAAAATTAAATTATTTAATTTTAAATTCAATACAAATATATTAATAATATTAATATTTATAAAATTATAAACATACAAAATGAATAATTAAATAAATATAATATTTTATAAAAAAAATTAAAAAATATAATAAAAATATAATACAAAATTTATTATTGATTAACTTATTATATTTAAAATTAATTATTCTTAAATTTTATATTTTCTAAATTCTCTTATTTATTCAATTCAAAAAGTGTCAAAATGAATAATATATTAAATATTATTATATAAAATAAAATTATTAAATAACAATACAATAATAAATAAATAAATTTCAATAAATCATTCATTGTATATAATTGATTATTAAATAAAAAAAGAATATTTTGATATATCTAAAAATCAATAAAAATAAATCAAAATCTATCAAAAATAAAAATATATAATATTTTAAATAAAATAAACAATAAAAAAGATAATTTTATAAAATATCTTTAATATTACAATGAAAAAAATTAAATTATTAAATAAATTTAATTAATACTTCTAAAATATTTAA